GATATATAGATATAGATATAGATAGATCAATGCGCACGCGCACACACACACGCAGTTGGGGATATTTGGCTTTCAGGTGAAACTTGTAGACAAGCCCAAAAGGCATTCAAACTTTCACAGGTGAATTTATATGACCTTCTCTGAGCTTTTGAATGCGCGTCCAACTCTTAAATGTTTTTGTACAAGTTGTTTTTCTCTCACGAGGAGCTTAACGGCAAAATTCACAACAGGTGGTTGATCCTTGAATCAACTAGTAAATGTCCTGGTTCAACTAGAGCTGATGTTTAAACAGTCGTCCTCATGATGCTGTTCACATTTTGACATCATGAGACCAAGACGACACCTAACAATTGATGAAAAGTACTTTGCCATTGTGATACTTCAAACAGGACGCTCTCAGAGAGAAGTGGCCACTGAGCTTAGAGTGTCACAGAGTGTCATCAGCATGTTACAACAGAGACACCGAGAGACTGGAAGAGAACTTATGGTGGTGGCAGTTTTACAGTGTAGCCAGGTGTGTCCAGTCGGTACAGAACTACCCTATATTTTGTGATTGGTTCAGTGACAAGCCCATACTACCTGAATAACATTTTTCATCCAGTGATTGTGCCCCTACCTGAACAACACGGGCCTAATTTCATCTTCATGAAAAACAACGCTCCAGCTCATTGAGGTGATATCATTAGTGAACGGATGTTGGAGACTGGTTTTCCTCAAATGGAATCCTATTGAAAACGTGTGAGATCAGCTGAGTCGCCGTGTAGAGGCTCAAAGCTCTGCTCCCAAGAACCTCAGTGACCTGAGGGCTGCCCTTCAAGAGTGGGATGCCATGCCTCAGCAGACAATAACTCGACTTGTGAACAGCATGATACGTCATCAAGCTGTAATTGATGCTAAAGGGCACATGGTAGGTCATTGAGACGTTGACATTTTTTTTGTTTAGTGTACCCACCATTGTTATTAACTTTTGTTTAACAGAATTGTTTGGGATGAGGAAATCTGTCCGACTTTCCTGAAAATTATATCACTGTAGCGTCAACGTTTTACATTTACCATAAATTTCACCTGAAAGCCAAACATCCCAAACTTTTTGTGAGTAATCTCACACACACACACACACACACACACACACACACACACACACACACACACACACACACACACACACACACACACACCATTTAATAATACTGTATCTATTGAGCACTCCAAGTTGCTGCCTGCATCCATGTTGTGGATTCAATATGGTATTAATTAAGGCCCCATAGTTCATTAGTCCATCTTAAGGTAGCTTTAGCAATAGTTATCTGTCATCTGTTATGGTCCCCTTTTTACCTCACTGCTAATTCTACTGAGGTAGACTGATGCAAATTTAAGAAGCCATCTTACTACCCAGCCCCCATCCCACACATTAATTGTGACACAACAAGGAACACACCCTCTGAAAAAGAGAAATAAATAAGAGTTGCAGATTTTTAAATGTTCAAATTTCGAATGACGAAACATTTAAGCACAGAGTGTGGATGATCAAATTTAGTCTTAAGGCCCAATCACAACCGAACGAATCACCTTTGCTTGGTGCAGCACCCACTCATTTCTCAACAAATGTGTCCAAAACGTGGGAGATTAAAATAGTCCATTGTTGTTGTACTTCAAAGAATAACCAATAGCAGTTTCCAGGCACTCCACTAAGGAACCGGCAGATAGGAAGTCCAGATCCACCTCTATAAATTTGATGTAAATGGGTAAACACCTAGCTAAGGCTCGACCGCCCACATCATCATTTAAGACGCAGCTGCGGCAGTTCTCTTGCAAAAAATGAGTCACCGGGGAGGGCTCACTTTGGAAGTAGTGTTTTGCGGAAATCTGAAAATTTTGTAAAAGACACTGTTGAATTGTCCTATCTTCAGCAATACCAAGGTAGCAGTAAGTGACTTTAGTCCCAGTGATGTCACTATTCCCTGCCCCGTCTCCATCAATCTGACTTGGTGCCCAATTGTCTGACTCACAGTGAGCTAAGCTACAGTTCTGAATATCACTTTGGGGAGACGTCCGACCTGATGCCGCCGCCTCATAACCGATAGCGTAGAGTCCATATGTCTTGGGGATATCCCCAGGTAGGAGGTAGTGGGATGTGGACATGCTCGACCCTGCTTCCCTTAACAGGGAAACTGGGAGCCAGTCCACCTCCATGTGCAGCTCGAGGCAGCGCGCCTCACTGATGGTAATGTCCAGAAACTTGTAGTAGACATTTTTCCAGTTCATCTTCTGAACTTTGGTCATAATGGTTTTGCCCTCAGGCTTCTCTGGATTGAAGAATTCCCGAAGCCTCTTTCCCAGTGGTACCTGTGAACTTATCTCGGCATAATGGTAACGTACATCTTCTCGCCAACGAGTGTCATAGCCGACGCCGAAGATGGCGAGCTTGTTCGAGAGGTGCAGGCGTGAAAACTCGGTCCAAGTCTGAAAGTGTTCCCATTTGAGCTGCACTGACTCTAGGATACGGATCAGCGTCTGCATCATATCCTTTTTTCTGCAAAAAAGAAAAAAATACATATACAAGCTGAGACCTGTGGCCATTGTCATTTCCATGTTTGTCTTAATAATCACCAGATGGTCAAAATGGTCTGTTAATGTAAATATTGCGTATATTTGTAATCCCGGACCGAAGGCTCAATTGAGAGATTTTTTTTTTAGAAATCATGGCATCTAAAATAAAAGGCAACGGTTTTGAATCAAACCAATCTATCTTTTTTTCTTCTTCATTTAAAATACAAATTACCAAACCATTATTTTAAGTTCAGTTCGTCATATTTTTTTGTACTACACGGAGGCAAAGATCTGAGGTGAATTGAACAAACGAATGGAAATAATAAAGAAGCACATCAGACTCTTATTGGAGCGTGAAGTAGTTTGTTCAATTTGAGTTGCCATTTTGTTAAACGGCGAAGAAAAAACAATTTCCGCTGCAAGTACGGACATAGTCATGGCAACTTGCCTTCGTTTACCTTCTGTTCAATGTTAGGCAAGCCACCTCTCTGTCCATTATTAAAAAAAAGAGGCCACATCATCATTCATTCTTGATTCCTTTGGCATCACCTAGTGGCATGACACAGATAGATTGGGTCAAAAACCACGACCATGCAGTATGGGTTCGATGTACTGTAACTGACCATTACACCTGTATTATTTCTGTTGATGGTTGATGTTGATTATATTTTTACACGTGTCGACAAAATTGTTGCAACTTCTGTTTTACTAATAACATTAAAAGAAATAATATAAATGTTACAAAAATTAAGCAATGAAAATCAGATATTGATTTGGATCAACAGAATTATTAAAACAAAAAAAAAAACCCTCATAGAACAGGCCTGAACAAAATTGTTGGTGCCCCTACGAAAAGATTGAGAATAATTGGACCAAAGGGGTGCCTTCTAATTAGCATCACACGTGTTTTCAAAAGTCAGTCGGCCACACTGAACATGGACCATAGAATTCGAAGGAGGGAGTTGTCTCAGAAGATTAGAAAGAAAGGCTATTAGGCCACGTTCAAGCAGGTCAATGTTCCTGTGACGACAGTTGCACATATTATTTAGCAATTTGAGATCCATGGGACTGTAATCAACCTCCCTGGATGTGGCTGCTGGAGGAAAATTGAAGACAAAGTGAAGAGAAATTAAAGGTCAACTTCAAGGTCAAGGTACATTCAGTGTCAGATCGCACCATCTGTCATTATTTGAGCCAAAATGGACTTCACGGGAGATGACCAAGGGCGACCACTTTTGGAAATAAATCCTAAAAGAAATTGCCGTACTGCATGTTCATTAGCCGAAAAGCTTCTGGGAGAATGTCCTATGGACTGATGAGAAAAACTAGAATTTTTTGGCAAGACACATCAACTTTATGTTAACTGACACAAAAATGAAGCACTGCAAGAAAAATAAATAGAACACTGTCCCTACTATGAAACATGGAGGAGGCTGTTATATTCTGGAGCTGCTTTGTTGCATCTGCTACAGGGTGTCTCGACTCTTGACAGGATTCAATGAATTCTCAACACTAGAAAGGTATTCTAGAGAGAAATGTGCTGCGTTGTGTCAGATTGGCCTTAGTCACAGATTTTGCAAGTGGATAATGACCCAAAGCACAGCAAAAACACTCAAGAATGGCTAAGATCTAAGCATCGGACAAGTATAGCCCCGATATGAACCCTGATCTAAATCCTATTGAACATCTGTGAAATTAGCTGAAACATGCGACCTTCAAATCTGAGACAATTGAAACAGTTTTCTCATGAAAAGTAGGCTAAAATATCTACTGACGCGGAAGGCTTATTGAACGTTATAAAAATGGTTTGAATGCAGTATTTGTCTCAGAAGGTTATGAAACAAAATAAGTGAAGGGTACACATCAATTTTGCCCTCCATATTTTAAAAAAAATAAGAAATGTGATGAAACACCATCAAAAGCAAAATCTGAATTTCAACAGTTAATTTTCATTAAAGGTTTTTTATTACTGTTATTATTAGTATGATTCCTTCTTTTATTATTATGATTATTTTTCTTTCATTACCTGAGGGGGACCAACAATTTTATCCACATATGTATCAGCAGTTTTGGTGCATTATTTTCTCCTCTCGCTAATCTACATCTCACAGCAACTGGCTGAGGTTCTGTTTCATGTTTCTTCCAGTTTGAGGGTTTTTTTTTTTACTTGCCTTCATATTGTTTAAGTGCTTGCTCATGATTGGTTCAGTTATTTTCCTTTGGATAAAGAGGGGTTGTGAAACTCTTCCATATGAAAAGGGTAACTAGAATTGACATACAAAATTCTCTTGCTGCCATCATACGCTCTTGTAGACTGAAAAACCATTTCCACATTTGCATACCTACATCAAACAATTCACATTGCCAATTTAGTTCCAGCTATAGCCATAAACCTTTTCAATCAGCTATTAGTTCCTTGTGTTGATATGTTTTGGGATTTTCAATTATAGCTGAGCGAAATAAAATAAATTGAAAACTGAAATAACTTGTTCAATGCTAACTGATTTGTTGAGACCAACTTCTGGTTGTGTCAGGCAGACGTTCTGGGTTTTGATTGAATGAGTACGATACATGTAACTTTGGTACATTCCTCATGCTTCACATAAGCCGAGCACAACAGCCCTGCACTTCTCTCTTTGTTGCCTGCTTTTTATCAGCAGTCGCTTGTCCACTGATGTAGCTTCACTTCCAGGCTTTATGTAAGTGTGTAGTATAATGTCAAATGAAAAAAAAAATCATCCATTAGAATGATTATCCTAGGTCAGATATTGGCAACCTTCATACTCAAAGAGCCATTTAGACCGTCTCCCACAGAAATAAATAAACTGGCGGCCACAAAACACTTTTGACATCAAAAGTGAGGATAATTCTGCTAGACCTTTTTTTTAAACTACCGGGATATAATTAAAAACAAAAAAATACAGTGTTCCATTGATGAAATCAATGCACGACTATCCATCCATTCATCACACATCCATAAGGGTGTTCACACGGCAACTTTTACCTCGGTGCAGCACCGGGGCTACCGCCGTAGAGCGTTAGCATGTACAAAGTTACACCGGTGTAGCCCCTGAAAACAGCTTAAGTTGGAGCAAATTTAACCCTGCTCAAGGAGGTGGTTTAAAAATTTACTCCGGAGTAAATGCTCATTTGCAGGACAGCACCGACATAAAATTGGACGTGTGAACGCTACGGGAGTAGACTCGCTACGACGTGTGAGAAGAGTTGATTACATACGGGTTTTGAATGCGTTGCTTTCGTGCTCTCTTGTACTTCCGTCATCTTTCCTTTCTCTCTCTCATCCTCATCCTTTTACGGTGTCTGATAGACCGCAGTGTTGATTTGTCTGGAGAAGTATAAACCATGGTTTTTCGATATGTCACAAACAATGCGGCGAATAGGGAGTGCACTTTACGCATACGCATGTTTTATTTCCATATTATTATATTGTCGTATTGCACGGCCGCAGAAACTGCTGTGTGAACACAAGTGGGGCTGCACCGGGGTTAACGCGCTTCTCTTTAGTAAGCAGCTTTTTATGTGTGAACGCTCCACAAAATTGACACCGGTGTAAGATATATCGCAACAAAATACGTAGGTGCAGCACCGATGCAAATGTGTGCCGTGTGAACACCCCTCAAATCCGCTTATCCTCACAAGGAGCCTATTCCAGCTGTCTTCGGGCAGTAGGTGGGGTCAACCTTGAACTGGTTGCCAGTCAATTGCAGGGCACAAAAAGAGGAACAACCATTCGCGCTCACAGTCACACCTAGGGACAATTTAGAGTGCATGTTTTTGGAGTATGGGAGGAAACCGTAGCACCCGGAGAAAAGCCACACAGGCACAGGGAGAACATGTAAACTCCACACAGGAAGGCTGGAGACGGAATTTAACCCTGCACCTCTGCCCTGTGAGGCGGACGTGCTAACCAATCGACCACCGTGCCACCCAAAGAACATCTTATTGTAAAGAAAATGTTTGCCTTGACTTCCCCCTTTAAACAGCCCTGATATATTTTCCAAAGTCACAGAGAACACTGCAGAAGGATCACAGACACGGCTTTGGAGCTGTGGGTTGCCTCTCCCTGTCCTACATCATTCACAACAACAAAAAAACCCACTGAAATAATCAATTTGCCTTACTGGATTTGCTCTGAGAGCTCTGCTTGAATCTGAAGAGCTCTGCTTTTCGGCATATGTATTTCTTCTGCAGAAAAAACAAAATACACCCAAGTTGAAATTCACTATTATTCCATTCTCATGTCCCTACCTGGCCAAATACCTACCAGCGTCCATGTCTCCCTCCTGGAAGGCTGAATCAAGTACCTGGTTGCACCAGTCCTCCTGTGAGAAGTCTTCCAAGGTACTGCCATCAGACTCCATCTCCTGGTAAAGCCCACTGCTGTTGATCAGCACTGGCGCACAGGTCTGAGAATCCCAGCCTCCCTGACCAAACACCTTCTCCAGTTGCTCAATAGTGTAGCTGCTCTTCCTCTTGCCAATGCCATGCTCCTTCACACGACTGTAGCAACGGCGAAGTGTCTGTATGATGTGGGAGAAATCTTTTATTTAGTAGAGTAATTCCTTGGGGATTGGGAACGGGCCCTGGCGTAAATATCGGGAAACATTTCAGGAATCGAACTGATTTTTCTCAAGTAGTCAATCACGAATAAGCAGAAAAATACTTCAAATTAATTTGTTGTTACATTGATATCCTATACACCAGGCACAGGTTTGCCTGTGAACATCATTAATACCGTATTTTCCACACTCTAAGGCGCTTCGGAGTATAAGGTGCACCTTCTATGAATGGCCAATTTTAAAACTGTTTTCAGATATAGGGTGCACCGCATTATAAGGCGCATACAGTAGAATAGACGCTACAATGGTGGCTGCGGTTGCATTATGCATCCACCAGATGGAGCTACTCTAAAGGGAATACAATACAATACTATATTTAGACCTTTCACAACTGGTGCAACTGTAACAAAGCGCTTTACATAACATTTAATATATTACATCCAAGAAACCAGAATATTGATCCATATATAAGGTGCAATGGATTATAAGGCACACTGTCGGCTTTTGAGAAAATCGAATGATTTTAGGTGTGCCATATAATGCGGAAAATACAGTAATTTAGACATGACCACAGGGAACTGAATAGTATGATTGTTACTGATAAACAGGTAAGTATTCTCTAGTAAGGGACAGTGGCGGACCCTGAGGGCCAGCAAGGCCTTCTCTGCTGGCCCAAACATTCTCAGAAAAGTAAATTTACTTTTCTGAGAATAACATAAATTTGTTATTTTATTTTCATAAATATGTTAACAAAATTATTCTCTGTATTCTTTACGTCATATTATTTCCACTTAGTTGAGTGGCTTTCAATGTTATTTTAAATAACATTGAAAGCCACTCGAAAAATAACTTATTATGGTAGAGTTTTTAACCAATCATATTTCAGCTAGCTTGTGTTGCCAGGTAAATTAAACTTGCTCGGGGCCTTCAGATTGAACAGAGCAGGCCCCTGTGCACTGTAAATGAACGGGCACTAGGGTGGTCCATTTTGGAAAAGTTTGTCGGATTCGTCGGGCCGGGTCGGAAATCTTGTCGATACTATGACACAAGGATGTGTGCAAAATTTTATTCCGATCGGATAATTTTATCCCGTCCCGCAGAGCGACCAAAGTTTCCCCTATGGAAAGAATGTTACGGGGCTGAATGGTAGTACGGTTTCTCCCGTACAGTAAGGATTTTGTTTTGCTCAGTTCGCACTTGCAATAATTCAAAGACGGAAGACAGGAACGCATGTATTGCAAAAAAGGCAACCGTGGTGATCCTGCAACACTGGTGAGATTGTTGGTCCATGTTAACTGGTCCATCTATCTATCTGTCCATCTGTCTATAATGGCCATCAACACTAGTGACACTGTTAGACCGCAAAAAAAAACGAAATCCGCCGTGCGTGCCATCCCATGCCTACTTCGCGCACGGGTGCAACGCCCGGTGTCGCTCCACGACCTGCAGAAGGTGCTGTCGCTGTTCCTCGTCGCGCGTAATGGCGCCGCAGAACGCGCTGATGAGGGCGACGCCCCTCTCCGCAAA